CCTTTACCCATGCCAGAGCTCATTTCCCTTTACCAATTTGATGGACCATAAACTGCTTTAAAAGCTCTCCCCGTGCTCTCCTGAGTCACGTTCATTGAACTTTCACCTTGGCATTATGGCGTCTATGGGTATTTTTAAGAGCGCGCGTCAACGTTTCCAAGTCGGTGTGCTGTCGAATTTAAATTGGGTGCGAGAAGCTTTCAGACTTGTAGAACTTTTCTCAGACTTAAAAACGTCAGCGCGGCCATCATCGCTAAATCCGTGTGACCCCGTGCTTTGCGGTTGATCACGGGAGCCATACTGAGGGAGTTATCTGAAGGGCTGAGGAATGTCTTTTCCCCTGATTGCATTTTGGAGTGACTTGCTGAGTTAAGTGCTCCCTCATCAGCCTTGGAGAACAGACTTTGGCGTTTTTTGGTTTTTTTTTTTTTTTTTAGGTGAAATTCTCAAAATGCTTCATTTACACAACTCAAATGTCAAGTGTGATAATAGCATTTGTGCTTGGTGAGCTCTGGCTTAATCAAAGTCTAAGCAGAGTGCCGGCTGACCGGCCTGTGGGAAATCGAACATAGCAATTAGCACTCAAACACACAGCCAAGCAATTCCGTGTGAAGCTCTCAGTTTGCTTTTCAGCTCTTCAATTTTTAATGCAACTTAGCTATGAGGTTATTTTGCTTATTTTCCTCCCTCTTAATGTGCTTGTGGGACCTCTGCTCATTCACGTTGGCCTTTTTGCATATTTAAAGCTTTCATGTCCCTCGCGGGATGCTAATAATGAATATAACCTTTAAATGCGGAGGCCTTAAGCCCGAGTTTTAAATCTGACGTCTTGCACCGACTGAAGAGTTGAAAAAGTAGACTGAGGTGTGTTGAGAAGCCCTGTAATGAAATGATTTACAAAGGAACGTCGACGGTTAGCCTTGTTTTAGGCTAAACACATGCGGGCGGACTTAAAGGACTTTTTATGTGAGTATTGCATGCTTTTCAGTCCTTTTTGGATAAAAGGGGTATTTTCCGGAGAGTAACTCATAAGGCTTACGCAGCAAGTCACGCAGGGAATGGAAACTGAATAGGTGGTTGTTATCCTCTTGAAGGTTTATAACTTTGACCTGAGCTTGAAATGCTTTCAGATTCTGTGAGACACAGCGTTTTTTCTTCATATCTCGCTTTTATGGGCTGCTGTTTGATACATCAAATGGTGCTTTTCTTTTCTGTCTGCCAGGCCGCATCAGTCACTGGAATGACATCAGTTCATACAGCACGCTTTCGATGCTGGAAACCTGTTCACAAACATGTGAACCTTAAAGGGGTTATGAACTAAGAAATCAAATTTTCCTTGAGCTTTTGACATCTAAGAGGTCATCATATTATAAGAATAATATCCTGTACGTTTTAGAACTGAAAACGTCCTTGTTAGTCCAATAAAAGCTTTTATTGACACCAGCTTTAGCAAACGACTCATTTTCAAAGTGGGGAACTATGACGTCAACGAGGATAAAACACAACCCCCGCACAAGAAGAAGATCAACGCGGCCGGTTTAGCCCCGCCCACCTATTCGCACATTCACGCACAGCTAAATAACATAGGCCTACCTCATGATGACAAACCGGATCGAGCTACCGAGCAATACAGAATATTGTGCAGCGCCTGGTTGTGGAAGAAGCAGTCGCTGCATAAGTTTCCTCTGGATTCCCAATAGTTAAACTTTATTTTTAATGACGTTCCAGCTGATGAGGTAAAACATTGTCCGTCTGTTCGCTTCATTTCACTGAGGATTGTTTTGTAAACAAGACTGGATTTGCAGACCAATTAAGAGTAAAGAACGGTGCTGTTCCAACTATATTGGATCTGACAGGAATTGTGCAACACACGGACTCTGGGTCGAATCATTCCGGTCGCCATTTTACAACACTGGACGTTTTCAAACCAATTTCCGCCAAGTGCATTGACGGGTGAGTTGAAACTCATTATAATATGCAAAACTGTTATCCGTCTTCAGTGCGAGATGTCCATAAAAACTGAGCGTTTTCCAGCTAGGCTCAAAACTAGGGTAGAAAATAGCCTATTACTTACTTATTTTGAAGTTTTTGAATGCAAAAGCCAAGCGAACGTCATAAGTTGACCTCAGACAACAATATAATAAAATTTAAAAAGCCAGTTAATGACCCCTTTAAACGTGTGCATAAGCAGCAATAAGCAAATCGTGAGAATCAAAAGGGAGAGAAAAAGTCAAAAATCTTCATTTATCCTGAAATAGCCTATCTCTGAAAAAGTGGAATGCAAACCATCAATTTTGCAAATAAAGTGGCCTTATGAGAAGTGGCTTTCAAAGCTGTTCTCACGCTGATTTATAACCTAATGCACAATATTTATTTATTTAATTTATTTTACATGAGAGAGACTTAAGTAACTTACAGCGGATGAGTCCTTCAGGCTGCTGGGTAATAAAAGATCAAAGGAGGGATGTAACCGAATGTTCAAGACTGCAGGGAAGAAATCTAAGAGTTTAATAATCATAGAGACGCAGAAATTGATGAACCACTTTTCTAAATATTGCGGTAAAGGAGTCTGGATTTTTGCTTTTCTTTTTTGGGGGAGGGATGTGAAAGCTCATTATAATGGATATAATGTGATATTGAACTTGATATAAAGTTAGATGTTTTTGCTATGTGTTATGCTTATAAGTGCTCAGCCATTTGTAAGGTTGAGTTAAACAAAATTGTACCTATTCATTCAGTCCCCCTGCCACTATTTTGAATATCCATTATCTTTCTTTGGTAACACTTTACTTGAAGGGGTGTGCATAAGACTAACATGACACCTTCATAAATCATGACATGACAAATGTTTTAAATATGAAGGAAGTTTAATGCATTTGTGACAACTGGCATTAAGTGTAATTTGCTCAGTTATGACTTGTTTAATGCAAATATGACATTGTTTGAGATGTCTTTGTCATGACACCTTGACATAAACCAATACATCATAACCTGTCAGCTACTTTGTCACGTGCCTACTTCATATTCAATACATATGTCATGTTATGGTTATGAAGGTGTCATGTCAGTCTTATGAACACCCCTTCAAGTAAAGTGTTACCCTTTCTTTTTAGTCACTTTTTAGTTGAAAGAACAAGTCAATAATCACCATCATAAATAGAGTTTAAAATTGACTGCATTGAAGTGGAAACCCGGGATGAACTCCTAGGCGGCACAATCAGTCATTATGTATGATGAATAAATTTAGATAATCCATGAATATGCATATACACATGAAACTAGATAAACAAAATTAATTTTATGAAGAAAACCGCAAGATTATGCATGTCCCAGATCTGCAGAAAGAGATGGGATGAAGGGGTAACTCTTTAGGCTACAATAAAGTTCATTAGTAGGCTAAACTAATATGAGCTAAGAATGAACAATACTTCTTCAGCATTTAATAATCTTAGTTAATATTAATTTCAACATTTACTATTATTAAAATCAAAGGTTGTAGCACTGTGAACTAACATGAACAAACAATGAACAGCTATAGCCTATTTTTATTAACTAACATTAGCAAAGATTAATAAACACTTTAACAAAATGTATTGCCCTTAGTTCATGTTAATCCATTTAACAAAATGTTAACTAATCAACATTATTATAAAGTGTTAGATTCGTTTAGTCCTCTCCACCTGATTTTTTCCACTAATGTCAAATCTATACATTTTGTAGCATTATATGTTTTATGTTGATAGCATTACTGTACATTCTGCAACCTTTCTACCTTCCAGAATGTAGGCTAAGTAAGTGAACCCCTTCAATACTGCTTAAAAGCATCACAGGACGGACGTTATAAGATGGGCAAATCAATGAGAAACTGTGCAGAGCACACTTTACATAGAGTGGCCAATTTCAAAAATATTCTCAAAACTAACCGAACTTTGTACGTAACACATGTCATCATCTGACCGCTATATTTTAAAGTGTTACACTGCCCTCTGCTGGTTCGGACTTCAAGTTCAGCCTTTCAAGAAACATGACAGATTATCAGTATAAACATCATTTCAAATAAACAAACATGCAAATAATATATTTTTGATTGTGTATGACAAGGTGACTTGTGGTTAACCAGTTAACAGTTTTTACTGTAGCTTTAATTATTCTTTTCAGTTCAAATTACTGACATTTTTACATCTTGCATGGATGATCTCAAGATTACAGTACTTTCTAACCCCTAATAATAAACATATTGGGAGTGAAACGTTTTTATTTATTTTACACTTGGATCGATAAAATATAAAGGAGTGCTGTGCAGAATTTTGCCTTGTCTCACACATGCATCAAAATGTTGCATTGGCTTGTTCTTTTAGACATTGTCTGATATTGTGGCAATTTACTTGTCCTTAAAGGTCAGTAGAGTATACAAAGTTCAAAGCAGAGTAAATGATCAGCATTAGAATGAAATGTCATTTTAACAAAATCACATGCACACAAAAACCAAGGAACATTAAGCACTATTTTTTTTTTAATTCTCTATGATATTATAGCCCTTATAATGTTTCATATAGTATTTGAAATGTATATGAGGATATGCTTAATGAATGCTAATCCTCCTGATCCATTGTTATTTTACTATTATTTATGTAGGCTACTATTAATTTTGTTTTGCATCATTTCATATTTTTTCATCATTATTCTGTAATAATGCACTACCACCACGGGCTGTTTTAATGGGACTGTTCATGCATTTGAGATGCAGTATGAGATTGAATAAAAAGTGTCTGGTAAATAGCATGTAATTAAGAAATGTCAGGGTCTGTAAATTGATTGTGCCATTTAGAAACCTTTTGTATGGCCTTTCCATCCTCGTTAATAAGGGTACACGTCATAACCTGCCTTGAATGAAATCCGGTTTAGTGATTGCAAAAAAAACAAAACGAAAAAAAAATGGTTGTAGTAGTGACTGCAGAAAAACAAATCTTTGCATTTCCAGATATCAGGTAAAGTGGGTCATATTTAAACAATCATGAATAATTACGCCAAATCTGCAATGTGCTGTTTTCGTTGGCCTGACGTCACTTTGTGGTGGGCGTGGTCAAGCTTCAACAAGCGATCGCAACAACAACCACATGGTAAGACAAATGCTCTGCCTACAGTCATTTTCATGAAAATAGCAATAATTCATAAAATATTGCGTTGTGTACTTTTCTTTCAAAGTAATGATTCAATGGGCTTTAAAAAGGTCGCATAATCTTATTTGTAAGGATGTATAGAGTAGTGACCCATTTAGCTTAGCTTAAGGCGTAAGGTAACATAAAGTGGGACATTAGCTGTCCATTAATGTGGGACACTTCAGAGCCATTCTAATAAAATATGATCGTTCGTCATCCTACAAGACTTATTATGTCACAAGCATGTCACAAATATTTTCTAATAGTCCCACTGTAGCATATAGGTAAAACCCGATGCTAATATGATATTTAATGTTTCTCTAACACTGGTTGAAGTTTGAACTTGAACATTTCAGCTTTATCTGGAAACAGTCTCACATTACAATATGAGACTGTTTGGGGCAATTATTATAACAATTGTTTTGATATAAAATATTTCAAATATTTGATACACATATTTCATTAACATGTCTGATTGACATCTTTACATGATTGTATTGTTGTCATTATAGTGAATGTGTCATTAACCACATTACATACAGAATTACTTACAATACACTGTGTGTATATACAGCATATAGATAGATAGATAGATAGATAGATAGATAGATAGATAGATAGATAGATAGATAGATAGATAGATACTATTTGTGCTAATGAATAATTTAATTGGAGTAGTTGGGGCCAAAATATTAGACCTTATTCAACAACATTCTGACTTTTATCTTTTTATAGAAAAAATGGCACCTAACCCAAAGAAGTCAGGAAAACTGAAGAGAAAACAGCAAGATGAAGGAGAGCATAAAGGAAGAAAAGGCCTGAAGACGAATCAGTGGAGAGAAGACCAAATGAAAGCTGCAATAGAGGAATATAAAGAGCAGGTCGACTCTGGGAGGCCTGCGCTGCGATTGCTCGCAAGGAAGTGGAACGTGCCAAAAACAACCCTTCAAAGACGCGTGAAAGGGCTTGTTGAGGGATCAGAGCATGCATCTGGAAGAAAGCCATTCATCCCTGTTGAATCTGAGCAGGAGTTAGTGCATCTTCTCACCTTGCTTTCACAGAGAGGCTTCCCGTTAAGGAGGACTGATGTTCAGTCTCTTGCTTTTGAGTTTGCCAAGATAAAGGGCTTCCGTGGGTTTTCAGAAGAGAAGCAAAAGGCGGGCTATCACTGGTACAAGGGCTTTATAAAGCGAAACCCAGAGCTGAAAATAAAGAAACCAGGGCCCATATCACCAGTGACAAAGATGAATGAAGAAGGGCTGGGGAAGTGGTTGAAAACGTAAGAAATCACCCTCGTCTCATTGATATATACGTATATGATATACATTCATGTTACATTGGCTTGTACTTTAAATAATTTAAATGTAGGCTCAGTACGCCATGAGAGTACTGCAGTACCGTCGGTCCAAAAAGTTAAGAGAAGATATAATCGCCCTTCACAAACAAGGCACAGGATTAGGGATGTAACAATATATCGTGCCACAATATATCGCAATAGAAAAATTCAACAATACGTATCGTGGATAGTGACAATATGTATTGTGGATAGTTTCTCCAAAATAAAAAATACCGTGTGAGAAAAAATTCAATTCTTTCAGAGGTTTAGTGCCAGTACTACATTAAACTACTATATATTAATCTTGATTATAATGTATAATAATGCAATGGGGGAATATTTGTGGGCTCTGATAATGTCAAATGTCTTATGTTACCAGTAAAAAGTGGCCGACATTATTTTAAATATATCTAGTCAGTAAAAGAGTGCAAGAATATTCGTCTACAATAATTCTGTATTTTCAGCTTCAGAATCATGAATATATTTATTCTGGTGTCACCATAGTCATTGGGTTAAAAGCAGCAAGTCCAAACCTATTCATTTAAACCCACAATGTAATATCAAATGGGGTGAAAATACTAATGTGTCTCATACTTTTGCACAGGACTATATATATATATATATATATATATATATATATATATATTAGTGCTGTCAATCAATCAATAAAAAATTTACTCAATTAAGTGCACAATTCTGTGATTAATCGCAATTAAAAACACTTACGTTTTTATTGGTTTATATTTAGTTTATATATTTTATAATTTAATAAGTTCAGTTAATCTCCAAATTAATATCGAGACAACATAAAGATGGTATATTTTAAATACTTGTTTAATGGCATCCTTTTATGAATGTCGGTCATTATTACTGATATCAATGTGGCTATTGATTTTTGGATAAAAATGATTTTTCCCCTCAGTTTTAAACATTGATAGCCATTCAACATTACATTGTAATTGAAAGCTATCATTTTTTTTTAAAACATTTATTAGGTTTCAAAAAATATAACAATTTTTAATTTAAGTGAATTTCACCATAAACCCATACTAACTGTCAAATTTACCTGTGCCCTTCCTTTCTGTCTAACATATGCAGAACAATATGAAATGGAGTAAAATTATTAATTAAACAGTCTGCACTGTATTGAATTATAAATTAAATACAGACTAATCCTTATTAAGGCTACAAAAGCTCTTTAGTCAAGAGCAGTGAGTAATAATTGTACCTTTGTTCTTTGATTAACTTTACTGGCATTAGCTAATGTCCCTTTAAAACCAGCCGCTGCTGCACATAATGCAGATCTCACACGCACCTCATTTTCTCACAACTCTTTGCGTTCATTTAAGACTATTTAACTAATTTAAGACTGCTCTAATGTTAGGAGGTTCCTTCACAAAACTGTCATTTTGGCTTAATTGTGTGTTATTGTTAGTTCAAACGCAAACTACATTCTGGCACGTTCTGTCGTGTGTGCGTCACATAGACAAGACATTTCAGCCCATTCTCATCCTAAGGCGTCATATACTGATGCTTTTGACATTTCGTCTACATCCAACGCACACGGCACCCTTTAGCGTCAATATGAGATGCAGATATATATGGGCCAGAAGGCGCCTCCTAGTGGTGTAACCCTAACCCTACCCCAGAACTAAACCTACCCATAACCGAACAAAGCTCTGTGCGTGTTATATAGACGCTAAAGGGTGCCATGTGCGTTGGATTTAAACGAAATTTAAAAAGTGTCACTATATGACACCCTAGGATGAGAATGTGTTGCACATTCACAGGCAGCGTGGTCTCTAATGTCTTGTCGCGCTTGAAGGGTTTAAAAGCATTTGCATGAATAAGAGGGGGATCAAATAATGTAAAGGTAGCCAAAGTATGGCAAAAATTAACAGATGCTGTGTTAATTGCGTTAAACATTTTAATAAGTTTTATATATATATATATATATATATATATATATATATATAGGCCTTCAGATATACTTAAATGCTCATGAATAATTTGATCGGAGTAGACGGCCCAGAATATTAAAACTAATTCAACTAAATTCTCACTTTTTTTATAGAAAAATGGCACCTAACCCAAAGAAGTCAGGAAAACTGCAGACAAAACAGCAAGATGAAGGAGAGCATAAAGGAAGAAAAGGTCTGAAGATGAATCAGTGGAGAGAAGACCAAATGAAAGCTGCAATAGAGGAATATAAAGAGCAGGTCGAGTCAGGGAGGCCTGCGCTGCGATTGCTCGCAAGGAAGTGGAACGTGCCAAAAACAACCCTTCAAAGACGCGTGAAAGGCCTTGTTGAGGGATCAGAGCATGCATCTGGAAGAAAGCCATTCATCCCTGTTGAATCTGAGCAGGAGTTAGTGCATCTTCTCACCTTGCTTTCACAGAGAGGCTTCCCGTTGAGGAGGACTGATGTTCAGTCTCTTGCTTTTGAGTTTGCCAAGATAAAGGGCTTCCGTGGGTTTTCAGAAGAGAAGCAAAAGGCGGGCTATCACTGGTACGAGGGCTTTATAAAGCGAAACCCAGAGCTGAAGATAAAGAAATCAGGGGCCATATCTCCAGCGACAAAGATGAATGAAGAAGGCCTGGGGAAATGGTTTAAAATGTATGAAATCACCCTTGATGCCTTGGGAATTAAAGACGTCCCCTCACGTATTTGGAAGTGTGATTTATCAGGACTAAAAGATGACATCTCCTCTCAACAAAATGTCAGGGAAGGAGAAGAGCCCTGCTTTCAGTTTGAAGCTGAGGAGGAAGAGGAAACTGCCACCACGGTACTATCAGCATTCAATGCCAGTGGTACATTTGCTCCTCCGCTTCTCATTTTAAAAGATAATGGGGTGAGAAGTAAGTGGTTGAACGAATCCATGGAAAACGTTTGCATTAGAGCGTCGAATGATGGCTGGATAACAGCAGAACTTTTTGTTGAGTGGGGCGAAATGTTTGTGGCACAGCTCCCAAAAGATGACGCCAGACCCCACCTTCTGCTCCTCGATGGCCAAAGCAGTCACGTGTTCAACCTTGGCTTTTTCAATCTAATGAAACAGAACAACGTGGAAGTCATATGCTATCCTGCACTGCAACTGGAAAACAGAGCTCTGTTTAGGAGTCTCAAACACAACTGGTGTGAAGTGAGTCGCAAGTGGAACCAGCAATATGCAAGCACGAAGTTACCCAAAGCACATTATTGTTCTGTTTTTATGGAAGCATGGAAGACAACTGCAACAGTGGAAAGAGCCCAGGATGGGTTCAGAACAACGGGGATGTTCCCATTGAATGAGTTGGCCTTCATTGAGCACGAGCCTCCTCCTGCCAACCCATCCCGTTTGGAAAGTCACACGCCGCCCACTGAAGACACTGCACGTTGCAGCACAGAAAGCGGCTCAGCTGTTGAAGTGACATCATTCGAAGACTTTGTGGTCATTCAAAAATGTAGCAGGGGTACGAAGACGCCCAGAGCCAAGACAATACCACATTTCCACAAAGACACAGAACACATTCTTTCTAATGAACATTTAAAACAAAAAACATTTAAAACCACTTCCTGCGGGGGCTGCCTCATAAAACACGGCGCAGATGATGATCCGAAAGCTTCTGAAGCATGGATCCGATGTAGCAACTGTAAGGCCTGCTACCATGAGTCTTGTGTAGACGAGGATGGGATATATGAATGGGTTTATGATGTAGATGGTGATGATCAATAAACTGACGCATGGAAACCGAGCACGATTTTAGAACATCGTGTGGTATTAAAATAAAACTCTTGTCCAGTGAAAATTAGATAGGCCTATGCTTTTAAGACATTATGACCCATTGAATGGACTGTGTCACAGCCTTGTTTTCATTTGTATATAACTAAATAAATTTAATTGAATAAGTGTTGTACTAGTATTTGCAAACCTTCTTCCCCGTAATTGCTCAATTAGTTTGGTCCAGTTTATTTGTTCAACAAATTTGTCTTGGGAGCTGCTTTCTTTGCCCCTTGCATGGCCCCTCATGATGCGCACTGGTTTGCCCATGAGGTCAGAACATTTCAGAGCCTTTAGGCCAAGGTATTTTCTGCTTCACGGTGTTCAAAGGTTACACAACCATATCCACGAGACTTGTTGGTCATTGTATCTCTGCACACGGACACAGAAAGTGGTCCAAATGGGTGGTATATTGTATGCAACACACGTTCGGTCACATCTGGGTGCAAATTATTTACGAGCCGTGATGACCCCTGGTTGACCGATATCCTCACCTGAAAACCAATTGTAAGATGCTGTCATTTCGATTGTCCTTAAAAGAAGATACTGTAGATTATTCTCAAAAAGCTCTGAGTACAGAGCACAACTGCTGTGTGGATGCCTCAGTCAGATCAAGATAATCATAAACTGACAGCTTTGCTCAGAATATTTTAAAAATCTGATGACATCATCACTGGTCAGTTTCATTCCTCAACATTCATCAACATCAAAATAATTTAGGGGATGATTTAAGTATCATAAATGATAGAAATATAAAGTAACCCCTAATAAATGACATGCATAAATAAAAGGCTAAAATGTAAAGCTATGGCCGGAAAAAAAGCCCTCCCCACATCATGGGAAATATATATATTTGTTTAAGCTTATCCGTTGTTCCAACTCCAACATATATGGGTTTTCATATTGGTATTTATTTTCCCAGTTTTGTAAAATTGTATTGTTTGCAAGTGTGAACCATATACATGTTTTATTCAGGGACAGGTCAAGACTGTTTGCGTCAACCGAGAGCATTGACAAACACCAGGCTACTTTAGTGCATTAATAGGCCTAGTTCACTTGAATGTGTGAATGAAAACAAGTGAGTGAATTTAGACAATTAGGTGCGCCAAATGGCTGCTAATTTGCATAGTTTGTGCTTGATGTTTAATAATCGCGAAACTAGGCAAACTGACAGCTCCAGTGGTAAAATCCTAAAAGATGTATCTTTAACTCTGCTTATAGCCAAGCAGTGACCATTTGAAAGGGAACTACTCGGTTACTATCTTAACCTCAGTTCCCTGACCCGGAGAGAGGAAACAAGTACAGTGGTGTGAATAAGTTTTGGCACCCATGCTAAAGTTGCCTAAAAAGAGGAATAAAAAATCATCTTTCGGATATTGATCTTAATGCCTTAATTAGAAAAATGAGGAAAAGTCCAACCTTTAAGGACACCAATTTTCTTTGTGAATGAATAATGTATCATTAATAAATAAATGTTTTTCCTTAAAATACAGGGTGCATAAGTCAGGGCACCCCTATGTTAAATTCCCATAGAGTCAGGCAGATTTTTATTTTTAAAAGCCAGTTATTTCATGGATCCAGGATAATATGCATCCTGATAAAGTTCCCTTGGCCTTTGGAATTAAAATATCCCCACATCATCACACACCTTCCACCACACCTAGAGATTGGCATGGTTTTACTTCAGTTAGCCTAATAGCTGGTTTGATTTGCATTGAAAGATGATCTTATGGAAAGTACCCCATGCCAATCTCTAGGTGTGGTGGAAGGTGTGTGATGATGTGGGGATATTTTAATTCCAAAGGCCAAGGGAACTTTATCAGGATGCATATTATCCTGGATCCATGAAATAACTGGCTTTTAAAAATAAAAATCTGCCTGACTCTATGGGAATTTAACATAGGGGTGCCCTGACTTATGCACCCTGTATTTTAAGGAAAAACAGTTATTTATTTATGATACATTATTCATTCACAAAGAAAATTGGTGTCCTTAAAGGTTGGACTTTTCCTCATTTTTCTAATTAAGGCATTAAGATCAATATCTGAAAGATGATTTTTTATTCCTCTTTTTAGGCAACTTTAGCATGGGTGCCAAAACTTATTCATATCACTTTATATTGCGTAGCCGGCCGCACAAGAGAAACGGTTAAAGTTGTCGTTTCAGTCGTATAAACCTGCTATAATGGCGAATTCAGGGGTCTTTATAGGCTGGGTCATGCACCCTTGGCGGGCTCTGACATAAGGCTAGCCCATTGGTTGCACGTCAGAGTCGCCCGTGCCATTGGATGTGCAGTTGCTGCAGCACAGCCTATGAGCACGTCTGACGCACGATAGCTACACAATACTCGTTCCCTCTCTCAGGGAACTGAGGTTACGATAGTAACCAAGTAGTTTTATCCGATAATATAAAATCAGTATACTGTATTACCCCACTTTTTTAAGCTAGTGTTGCATCTTGAAAAAGCGGTTGCAATCAAGTTTTTTTTTTTAATTTAATTTTATTATTATCATGCTTCAATAACAAACAAACAAGATACATTATTAAATCTCTGCATATAACCTCTATTATTCAGCCTTAGGTTGAGCATTGTACAAAAACAAAAAAATCACAAAAGAACAAACAAATAGGCTAATTAAATGAAAATACATACAAAATTAAATTAAATCAAAAGGTGCTTTTTAAATTAATCTAAACATATCCAAAAGATACATCATTTTAAGGCCTTTCTGTTTTTTTAACACATTTTAAAGATTTGCACAATAGTTCATTCATCCACTGATTTAAAAAAAATGGGTTTAGCATTTGTGAATGAAAAACTTTCCAAAACATAACATGAAATGAATTACAAAATAAAACTCTTTGTTTTCCAGACAAAAACCAAACCTAATTAACTTCACCGTGAGGGTTTTTTTTTTTCATGCATTAGGCGGTCGAGGAGAATAAACGTCATCACGCCGAACAGGTAAACTCAATCCGCTTTAACAGCTCGTTATGTTAATCTTTGAAAATGGTCTTGATGGACAAAACGTGTAAGTATCATAAACTTTTGTTGATCACATAGCTGATTTTGTCGTTGTTGTTGCGATACTTTAAGAGCCTGTGGAAAAATCTTGTTTTGTTTTTTTTTTCTCGTGGGAACGGGCTGCAGTGATGCAAACTAACGTTACCGGTTAGCCGATTGAGTGTACATTGGTTGTAGTTACAGTACATTATGGGATTGAGTGAGTGCAATACAAATGGCTGCCCGGTATAGGGAACGACTTTAGGACACAGCTTTGGATTGTTTTGATTATTATTAGTGCTTTTATTTTGAAATTCATCTCGGATTCGGAAGTAAAATCCTGTTTCGTAGTCGTTTCTCGTTTCCACCTTCACGTGATTCTGTTGACTGAGCGTTTCATTTTGTGCGACATAAAGGACCTTAACCCGAAGTTTTGGATCGGGAAGAAGAAAAATATGAAAATGTAAGCAGCAACACACTGCATTAGAATAATTTATACAATTATTTAACTTGATTTTTAAGTAAAGGCTATATAATAAACCTGACATTGTCGTTCACATTCAGGCCCGTGGCTTGCTTTCTTTTTCTTAACGTTAGTTTTTATCATCAACCTTCGTTCATGAGTTGCATTTAACGTGTCTGTTTTCTCAGATTTAAGAACGTGCTTCATAAATGTTCGCCTAAGTAAAGTTAACCAATTTGCGATTAATGTTATCTGATTGTCCGTAAGTGAGATGAATGTAATTATCGTATCCACGCTCAGCGGGCACTTAAGTTAACTTAGGTTAATTATTAAGGCTGTAAAAAAATCGTGTTTATCTGATGTGGGATATTTCGTAAGCATATGGGAGGTGGATGGTTCCTTTCCAATATTCTGCATTTGGCTATATCCTTTCACCGTCCTTTCTGGTTGTCATTAGTTTGCTACTGCACAGAGAGAATGCTCCAAAACGGAAGTTGCGATAGTCAGTGTTTTCCGATTCAAACGGCCTATGTAGAAGGAAAAAGTGTAAGCTGTACTTGTTGTTGTAACGTTAGTTGTTGTTGCTGTGATATCATGTGAGTGACAGCGACAGTAAACGCGTCGTCAAAGATGAGATTGCTAGAGGGAGTGGACGTTAATTTAATTAAAGATTACGAAGGGTAACGTTCATATATTTTAAAATAATTAAATACTGCAATATTGGATTGAAGACAGGAGTTATGGTTGCTGAAAATTCAGCTTTGCCATATCACAGAAATAAATTACATTTAAAAATATAGACAAAAAAAAAGAACAACTCTTAATCAAATTTATAAAAGAGAAGTTCATTCTTGCAAGAATAGGCCCATTCGCCAACACAGCAGTTACCCTGTGGAGTGAGACACAGACAGGAAGAAATGGGCAATCTTTATACTGCTCTTTCAAGGTCCTTTTCCCTGCAGAGCTTCCCAGTAGTTTCCATAGACAAAATGCCCTTTACTGCTAGCTTTGATTTGTCACTTACCAACCCTTTAAGCCCCCTTAACTAGATGACCTTCTGACCTCAGAGGTCCTTGCCCATCTGGCTCTAGAATGCCATAAGTTAGCAACGCGAGTGTCTTGCTTATAATAAACACTTTTGGTGGAGATAAACCTATAATGACATACTAGTACTCGGTGAACAATAAACTGCATGAACTGATCTGCTCGGCGATCTCATCAATCTTATTAACTGCCATGCAGTCTATTTCACTGGTTAAGGTTAGGGTCAGGTGTAGGGTAGTTTCAGTTTTAGACGTCACAGCCACAGACCGTTGGCTGAAAGTCTGATGCATATGGCACACTTTTCTGGAAGCTCTTCAGGAGTTTCGAAGTCGCGATCTGATTGGTTGAATTCTACAGGATGTCCGGGAGACGTGTTCTTCAACAGTCCGCCTGGAAACGAATGCCGTGTGACAGCAAAACCCCTCGTGGAAGAACCCTGTTGTGTTTATAACTTGACAATGAGCGCTTACCAGGCTCAACTAAACGCTGGATTTTTAAAAGTAGGCCTATGTAAAGTTTGCGGCTCCATTGTTGCAGTAATCTTACATGTTCTTCAATTGATTGTTTATTAGATGCACGCCAGTCTTTTATTGTAAAGACATAGACAATATGTTTTCATTCCCCTAAACATGACGTGAAACAAAACG